ACTCCGCCATGACTCCGCGCGGCCCACTTCTACTACCCCGCCTACCTTACTAGCTCTCTGCTAGATCCGACTTCAGAATCGGAATCGCCCCGTTCAAAAACCTCGAATTAACTCTCTCCCCGCCCGATTTCATCCAGAATCGGGTGGAGCCTTCGTTCCCCGTCCCTTCCCGCCTGCGCTTGCTTCTACCATAGCTCACTCAGATGTATCCGGCACAAAACCCCGGCCGGGTTCACTCATCTCCTTCTGCGACATCCGCTCCCCGCCTTAATACTCCCACGGCGCCTGGCAGCCCGGTGCGCTATCTTTCCACCTTACTCCGAGGCGCCCCGCTCCGCTCTGCACCCCGGCTCGTTTCTCTGGCCAACACACCTCCTCTCCTCTGCGCTCATCACTCCGGCACCCCATCCCGTCCTTGTCTTCTTCGAAGCGCATGCACCTGGCGTTCAAAGGCGCCCAGGTACTCCCGCAACTCTAGCCGCCCACGCCCGACTTCCGTTTCCACTGAGCCGCGCTGCACTCGTCATTTCCGCCCCGCTCTCTATGCTCCCCGTCACCCGCTGTCCGTCCCCCGCATCACTCCCAACGCCGGATGAACCTGGCCCGGCCTGCGTCGAGGTTCGAGGCCATCTTCACCCCTGCCCGCCTGCTGCCTGTGGCTCCACCCCGCTGCTCGCTTGCTGCCGGTCCATAGGCCGTTGGTGACGTCCCGAACAACGTAGCCCGACTAGCTACAGAATGCTGGGCAGCAGCATTCGGCCGTCGGGCCTGCCGCCTCTTATACGGGCCGCTCTCGGGCAGGGACCGTGCTAATCTGCTCTGTATCGTTCCAATTTTAACAGACGTCCCGAAGGACTTGACCGGGGCAATGCCCCGCGGCGCCGCAAAAGGCCGCCCGACCTCTCCCCGTACTTCCCCGCACGCACCTACCCTGGTTCCCACCTGGACTCAGTCCCGGACCCCCTTTGCATCCGTCATCCTCACATGGGGGCCATACAGATCCTCCCTGTATCGAACCAAATCCTAAATGGCTCCAACAAAATTCTTTGCAGAGCTACCCCACCCCAGTCTGCTATTTTCGCATGGACCTGGCCCCCTTCCGGGGCTGGGCTCAGGGACGTGCCCCAACATGCGCTGCAGCCCCTGGCAGCAGCAAGTGCCCGAGCCCGCCCCCGCTTCGTGATTTATGCGGGCCACCCTCGCCCACCGCGTCTGGTCACTGCTGATTGTGCTCGGTAGATGAGCCTCCCCGCCACTTGCCTCCCCTTTTCGTCCGCACCTGGCTTCGTCCGCGTCCGGGTTCACTCCCGGACTCGACCGGGGCAATGCCCCGCGGCTCCCCAAAAAGCCGCACGGCCTTTAGCTCGGCCTACTGGTGGGGGTAGATACCGCCCCGTTCATTCTGCGTACGGACCCGGCCTGGTCCACGTCCGGGTTCAATCCCGGACTTGCATATATCCCCGGACAGCGGCCGCACGAACCCCTGTTATACCACCCAATGCACCGCGCCCCAAGGCAAAACGGGGCGCGACTCCGACGCCGCCACGAAAACAGTTTGTAATTGCGCTTCAGGCAACACCGCAAATACAACACACCCCCATGCGCTCCTACCGCAGTCCCGTGTCTCAAAGCGGGACGCGCTAGCAAACGAACCCAGAACAATAAACAAAAGGGAAATAAAATAAAATAAAAGTCGGGGAACCGCGGGGCTACTGGCACCTCGCCAACCCCGTGGATTGGGCCCGCCGCCGCGCCCGTAAGCAAAACCGAGGGGGATAGCCCCGTCGGGTTCTTGACCCCTCGATCTTTTCCACGTCGCTTCGTCGCGGCTGCTGCACTGACGCCCGTTGGCCTCGACCCCCGAACCTCCGTATCACCAACCCAATGTCGTAACCTATAGGGCTAAGCCCAAACTTGAGACCCATGTCCGCGGGGTGCCATATAAGGCATGCGGCGTGGCGCTTTGGGCCAACAACCCGGCTGCGCGGTCCCCAGTGCCCGCGCCAGCTTGCTTATACCGTGCCATAATTGCCCCGCGCGCCATCCTACTACACCCCGCTCACCACACGAAGTCGCGCCGCCGTTGCCGATGCCGACGTCGGGGTCGCTCTCCGCACGCGCGCAGGTCTCAATCAAACATACCAATCAAAACAGAAGTATCCTTAAATCCTAGGTCGATCAAAATCAACTAAGTAAATAAATAATAGTTTCAAGCAAAACGACCGACGTTCGCGTCGGCTCTATAACCAACAGTTAGGGAAGGAATCACGCGCGCCTTAAACCTGCGCGCCCACGCACTCTCTACTCTAGTCAACCACTCAGTCAACGTGAATTACGGACGCAGCCGCGCCTAGCGCGGTATACTCAAGCTTTAAACCAAACCATTTTCTGTCGCTTGCAAAAACCAGAGCGGATACCCTTGTAAGGGTATTCGCGCCGACAACGTCCTCCAATCATTAATTAGCTTGGTCCAGAAGTCATCTTTTAGCAGGTCCATACGGGCTGCGACCCGATTTGAGTGTGGTTGGGGGCAGGTGGGGGGCCTGGGGATTGCCCAGAAAACATCATCTAACCAAGCGATTGGGTGTACAGATGGTGAGGGTTCAGGTGCCAGTCTCGACATTTGTTCCCAAGCTAGGGGCTCCCAGGTAAGCCCGGGGTGAAAATAAGCCGCTTCAGCCATTGGAGTGAGAGGGCGGACATTTGGGTGGTCGGGTCAAGTATGCCTAATCCCCCTTGTGCCCTTGGCTGCACCACCGCATCCCAGGCTACCCTACTAATAGTATTTTGTGCTTCATGGTTGTGCGTCCATAGAAAGGCTGCCACTTGCAGTTTCAGGGATTTTGAAGCCGCTCTGGTCAAGGGCCAGATTGCTGATTTATACCAGAGCGCCGCCAAAACCACATTATTTATGACGAGGGCCCCTATCCAAGAGTGATGTGTGCTTGTCCTTCCAAGTTTCCAACTTTGTAGGGCTGGGCACGTAATCCAATTGTCATTAGTAACGGGCTTCCCTTCAACAAAGAGCTGGATTCCAAGGACTCTTATGGGTGTTTCCAGGGGGAGCCAAGTCACATTTGGACGCTTTGGGGGTCTTCCGCCCTCGTGGTGCATCCACCAGCCCAATGTCTTGCTGCCCCAGTTAATTGCCATGTGAGAGAGGTTACAAAATTGGTCCATCGGTTTTTTAATTTCTTCCATATTTTGTATTGAGGCCTCTACCATCAGTGTGAGATCATCTGCAAACAATGAGCACACTTGTATTGCTTCCTGTGGGATGGAGGTTGTCCTGATTCTACTGATATTCCGATTGGCTCCAAGGTTGACCGCCAGGGCCTCCATTATTACCACAAAAAAGTATGGTGTGATTGGGTCCCCTTGGCGTACTGATCTCTGCAGCGGGAAATCCAGGGCAAGGCTCCCGTTCACTTGCACACGAGTGGTAGAGTTTTGGTGGAGTATCCGTACCCATCTCTGAAAGGTTTCTCCAAAGTTCATTCTTTGCAGCCATTTGTCCAAGAAATACCAGTCCACGTGATCATATGCCTTTTCAAAGTCTATAAAAATGAAGGCGACACTACTTCTAGACTGTCGGGATAATCTCAATAACTCATTTACTAGGAGGATGTTGTCGTGGATGCGCCGCCCTTTAAGGAAACCCATTTGTGAGAGGTGGATAATTTGCTCCAATGCCGGTGCCATGCGGTTTGCTAATGCTTTTGAAAGCATTTTGTAGACCACGGTCAACAACATGATTGGTCGATAGTTGCGGATGTTCATTTTGTCTCCTTTTTTGTACAGCAATGTTAGAACCCATTGACCTACAGGTTCCCCCATCTCTCACTCTATCCACACCCTACGGTAAAATGTCATTAAGTCCTCCTCCATCAAGGTCCAAAAGGTCTCCCAAAACTCCTTTGGGAACTCGTCTACCGCCGGGGTCTTCTCCTCTTCCATCTGCATAAGAGCCGTCCATATCTCCTCCTTGGTGAGTGGGCGGTCCAAGGCCTCTTGTGTCTGTCAGGGGAGTGAGCGAGTTAGGGGTTTGAGAAAGTCTTCAATCTCTCGATCCCTTGTAGCAATATCAATGTCCTTAGTACGTGAGGTAAAAAGAGCCTTATAGAAGTCTCTTGCCGCCTTCATACACTGCGGTGTAGAGGTGGCAATCGGTCTCTCAAGTTGAATGGGATCTAGGAAGGCTTCGATAGTCTGCCTCTTTCCCCTGACCCTTGCTAGGGAAAAAAAATTGGAGTCCATGGCTCCTTCCGTATTATGTTTGGATAGTTTGCCTCTAATCCTGATGCCTTGCCATTCGTAGGAAGCGAATACCAGTAGTTTATTTTGAAGGTTTTGAAGCTGAGGGGTGAAGGCTTGTCGCTGTAGGTCTTGAATCTGATATTGAATCTCCATTTCCTCTTGATAGCGTTTTTCTGCGAATTGTTTAGAAAATTCCTTCCTTTTACGCCCCAGGAAAAGGAGCCCATTATTGAACCATGTGACTTCGGAGTCAAAATGTTTTTTCTGTTGGTGCCAGTAGGCTCATACATCGTGGATCAGATGTACAAGTTAGGCTCAGATCAACTGCTGGTTTAAAGCAGTGATGACCTCCACTTCTGTTCTTTTCTTTCTGAGCTTGATGGCCGACAGAAACTAGTTGGGGAATGCCAGCGAGCCGCAGAGGACATGCCAAGTGGTGACATGTGGAGGATGGGGGCGGCGGCTATAGTTGTGCGTGTTGTTTATCTTCTTCGATTTACTTTGGCTTGGTAGCCTTGGGCCTGTGTATCTTCTTGTGCCCTTGCGTGGATGCTTGTTGTATGCCATGTATGTGATGTGCACTACTCTGAATCATCATAGCCTCTTACTGATCGTTTGGTGAACTTCCTTTTTGCCCCTTCTTTTTGCTTTGGTGTGGGGGGGGGGGGGGGGGGGGGGGGGGGGGGGGGTTGGTGGGGGGGGGGGTGCGGGCGGTTATGCATTTAACAACCATTACACTGCAGAGCAGAAGAGTCAAGGTCAATAGCAATTTGCTGAAGGAGGCAGAGATGTATGGAGATATGGAGATCCTTCCTTTCATCGAGCAATACAATCTTATAGTGCTGAAGACACTTGCAATTTTCCAGTTTGCAGTAAGATCGACAAACACTTTCTTTGTTTTTTGTCTTTTTCCCCTTTCTAGGAGGCAATGCTGAAAGAAGCTTCCCCGGCCCCGTTATTCGCCGTGTAGCCACTACTGAAAGGAGACGAATGAACCATTGTTGTTGTTTTTTTTTTTTTTTTTTTTTCATCTGTCCCTTTTTTTCCAGACAAAACATACCCTGCCCCTTCTATTCGGGGGGGGGGGGCAGTTGGGTTGCTTTTTATTGGCAAGCATGATAGTCAACAAAGAAATGGCCAGACCAGCAAGAAATGAAAGGCCTCGGGGTACGTGGCCTCGAGAAAAACCAACGGTTTTGTGCCCGTATCGATTCCTTTCACTGGAATATAAAGGAGAATGATTTTTCTTATTTTTTATTTTTTATTTGGAAGGAAACATGCTCCAGTCTATTCGTGGGGAGAATCATGTGCTGGGAACCGGGCCCAGTGTCCCTTCGCTAAAGATTAGAGAAATTATACCAGTACCGGGGCCATTACCCGACTTTGGCTTATGAATTCAGATCACCAATCACTTAGAGAGTGTTTCGACTACGAAATTTGACAAAAGAACCAACTAACGAAATGAAACTGAAGACACAGAGAGAGAAAAAAACTCTGGGAGTTGGCAATGATTCCGGCCAGCCGAAATTTTGGTCGTGATGACCAACCTTCAACATGCTGATCTCCAATCTCTGTATTCCAATTGGAATGAAGAAAAGTTGTGCCGTGGTAGCGCCTTGTGTGTGGAATCCATCTCTATCTATCAGTCTATCTGTCTATCTGTTTGATATCTATGTGTCTAGGTTCAATTTCCATCAAGAGTGGTTTGAAGAATAAACAGGACAGTCCTCACTACTGCAAATGCCTCGCATCATGTTTTTGTTTGCGAGTGAAGCCTGGGCAGGTTATCTGGCAGTTAACTTTCTACTCTACTCTCTACTGTATTGCTACTGTAGATGGGTCTACAACTCGGTTAAGAGTATACGCCTGATAAGTGTAAAGTCAGTAGTTTAAAACTTTAAATCTACTTAGGCCCACTCTCTACTCTCTGCCCTACTCTACTCTCCACTACTCCCCACTCTCTACTATACTCTCCACTCTCTCCTTTGCTCTCCACTCTTTACTCTCTACCCTCTACTGAATGACCAGTCTTCGCAGTCCATGATGCTGCTCGATGTAATGCCCCTCCTCTCCATCCACTACCTCCCTCCTGTTCTTCTTCCTGCTCGTCTTCCTCCTCCTCTTCCACCTGTTCTTCTGCAGCTTCCATTGACAGCATTAGGCCAAATAGCTGCATTCTCCTTCTATTCTTCACTTTCATTTAGTGGCATGTTTGTCCTCTTCATCTTCCATCAACTACTACATTCTGGAAGGCTTTTGGCAATCAACGGACAAGCACCGAAGACTCCCTCCCTTCACATATTCAATTCCTTCCCCCTGCCCCCCACCCACCATCCCCACC